GCGATGGGCATGCCCGGAGCTGTCTTCCCTGTGCATAAGCAGTAAAAACGGGACTTTGCCCATTTTTGAGACCCTCTGTGCTCCAACAGCTCTCACAGCTCTGACATGTAGGAGCTCTTCCTGCTCCCTGGATGGACACAGGCTGCCGTGTAGCATGTAGACTGTTGGAGGATTGAGCACACATCCAGCTCAAGGGCTTGCTAACCATGCAGCCCCTGACATACACGAGACAGGACCATCTGAGGGTTGAGGTGGACACTCCAGACTCTCAAGCACAGCCCTGTCTTCCCCCGTAGCCTCCTCCTTGACATCACAGAATCACAGAATGTTCAAGGTTGGAAGGGACCTCTAGAGATCATCTAGTCCAACCTTCCCGCTCAAGCAGGGACACCCAGAGCAGGGGCACAAGGTGGCATCCAGGCGGGTTTGGAAGATCTCCAGAGAGGGAGACTCCACAGCCTCCCTGGACAGCCTGTGCCAGGGCTCTGTCACCCTCACAGGAAAGAAGTTCTTCCTCACGTGGAGATGGAACTGCCTGTGTTTCAACTTATACCCACTGCCCTTGTCCTGTCGCTGGCCACCACTGAGAAGAGCTTGTCCCCTTCCTCCCTGCATTCTCCCTTCACAAACTTACACATGTTAATCAGATCCCCTCTCAGCCTTCCCTTCTCCGAGCTGAACAGGCCCAGCTCACTCAGTCTCTCCTCATACGAGAGATGCTCCAGTCCCTTAATCATCTTTGTTGCTCTCTCTTGGACCCTCTCTAGAAGCTCCACGTGCCTCTTGTCCTGGGGAGCCCAGAACTGCCCCCAATACTCCGGGTGCGGCCTCCCCAGAGCTGAGCAGAGGGGCAGGATCACCTCCCTTGACCTGCTGCCAACATCCTCCTGATGCAGCCAGGATCCCATGGGCCTTCTTGGCCACGAGGGCACTGCTGCCTCGTGGGTAACTTGGTGTCAAAATGACTTTAGTGTCAAAATTAACTTGCTGTCAAAATGGTGTCAAATGACCTCCCATGTTCTAGTGAACTTAGTGAAGTTCCTTTCTCAGCAGCGGCGAGCAAGAAAGGCAGGTGTACAAGAAGATTGCAGCTCTGCTGAACCAGAGTGTTCAGTTATGTGTTTTTAAGCACGGTTCATGATTTCATTTGCATCTTCCTTGGCATCTTTTAGGCTGTGACAGAGTTTGGAAAAAATATTGTACTATAGCATTTTTAAAAGAGCGATTTCTTTTTGATTAAAGAAATACAATCAAATCTGTCCTGACAATTCTGGCTGTTGTTTTCCTTAGCTAGTAGAAACCTGCCTTACTGGTTTATGGAGCCATGGTGCTAGCATGTAAAGCAAGATGTTATGACTCATTTGAACAATTCTTTGTTCTCTCTTAAAAGCATTGCCAATGCTATTTTCAAATAACTTACTGTACCAGGCCATGCCCCTAAGAATGCAAACCTAGAGCAAGTCTGAGTTTAATTAATTCAAGGCAGATTATATAATTTTTGCAGTGCTGTATGCTGTGAATTAATTTTGTTAATGTTCTTTGATAGTTTCGCTCTGCAGCTTTGGTGAATTATAATATAATTTTATTCGTAAAAATAATATCACTTCTGAATTTGAAGAGAACTTTTTCCTAATGCAATTAAAAGTGTGTTTCAGGACTGATAATAGTCTCTTCAGGTTGGTCAGCAGAATAGCCTTCCTGACTCCAACTGAAGAGCCAATTTATTGCATGAAACCCTGAAATCATCTGTTTTAAACTGAGAACTTACTGATGGAAAATGGAACTGCCCTGGTTTCAACAGGGCTCTGACATGAGCCTGGAGAATTTTCCTTTGAAGACAATGATATCCAGGGTGAAATAAGTTACGGTAACTGAGGGACAGCCAACAGCCCCACCTTGTCAGCTCCCTAGCGGAGCCCCAGTGCCCAGGGGACCTGCAGGGATCACTGAGCATTATGGTGACCTTGGTGAGGAGCATTACGGAGGCAATTCCATTCACCGTGTTACAGCTGAGGATAGCCAGCCATAGCATGATAACCGATCATCTCAGGGCAGTAAGAAAGATGTTTTTGTGTTTTCTCTTGGCCAATGCTGGATCACTTGTTCGTGCAGGAACTTCAGAGGCAGAAACATTGATTGGGCTATGTTAAGGAAATAAAGTAGTTCCTCGTGCAGCTGAACAGTAGAAGTGTAAATTGGAGAAAATCTTTTAGGCATTGTTAGCATTTATGTCTGAAAGGAAAAAGAGAGAGAGAGAGAGAGAGAGAGAGAGAGAGAGAGAGAGAGAGAGCGCGAGAGTGCGCGCGCGCTAGCTTGGTTTCCACCAAGCCAGGGATAAAATGTGCTCATTTCTTAGGGATCATGCTAGATTTAACCTCAAGGGGGGGAAGCTTTTCTTGAAACAAAAAACTCTTCATTTACTTTGAGCCCACTGCAGCTGACTGAAAATGAAAAATGCTGGCCAGGTTAGCTGAATCCCAAACTGGTGGTGTGATATCAGTTAAACTCTGTAGGACTTTATATTTTATTTTAGTCTAGTATCTTCGATGGTTTCCGGGAGGGTACACAGTTGAATGGAAAACAGTTTGCTTCTTCCTACTAATAAAACTGATTGTGGTACGAATCGTTTTACTTGCCAAACAAAAGGAGTGACCAGCTCATTGAAAAAGTGTAGACGTAGCCAACCACAGAGCTTCCGCATGCCTTCAGAAGGTGCTGCCCAGTTTACCTCCGTGGGCAATCTTGCAGACAGCTCTGATTGTGCCTTCTGGAAAGGCTTTACTAACCCTTTCAAAACCCCACGGCTCTGAAAAGCTGATTGTGAATTTCCTTCCATCTGCAATTTTCTTCTTCTTCTGGGTATTTACTACCCAGTTTAAAATGTTGCAGTAATTTATACCCAAGGCCTTACCACAAGACCTGTGGAGTGAGGGCTGCTTTGTGGTTTAGTGCTTTTACTAAAGGACACAAATGAAGTCCTGTGTGCCCAAAGTACGTCTGTAACTGTTCCACTCATGGTGACAACAGTCACCTCCACTGCTGAAGGCAGTTGGCAGTCTTAATGAGGATTACTCTGTGCTTTTCTGTTAGGTAGATATCTCTCCTGTTTCTTTGAAAAACAATTTATAGAAAATGAGGTAGTGTGGTTACTGCTCTTGTACTCTTCCTGTCCTGTAATTTAACCCGTCTTGTTTTTTGAGATGTGTTTTGTTTTGTTTCTGTGTTGTTTTTTGCTCCTGTCACTTAATAGCTAAAAAGGGCTAAATCTTGTCTTGTGCTGTTTTAACAACTCAAGTTCAATTTCTACTGAGAATTAAGATAAGGCCATTGTACTTCTCTACTCTATCTAAAATACTGAATTGAAATTTTAGTGAATTTCTGCTAACCGTAATCATGTTTTCCTCCCTTTGTTTATTTATTTTTTCTTTCTATTATGTGATTGATTGTCAAGTCTGCATGTACATGCTGAAGAAATATGTAATTCCAGTTGCTTTGTTCTCTTATCTTGAATTGGCGTAACTGTTCAGTGTAAATAGCCTATATGATGGCATTAGATTTCCCATACTGAGACCCTTTCAAGAGCTGCTCCTGTTTAAGCAAACATATGTTAAATTAGTGGAATAGCATGAATAGAAAACTCCCAGCCTACCAAGATGTTTATCTTGCCACTGCTTGGGTAGTGCAAGATTGGTCATCTGAAGCAGTTGTATGGACCCTACCTTGGTGACTGGGTACAAACCCTGCCCAAATTTTTCTGCTCCGCACTCCACTCTGTACAGGCAGTGTTTGACTGATACAGTACTAGCACAGCTAAATTAAGTAAATCTAATACCAATATATTCTGCCATTCTGCTTTTGAGGTTCATAATTTTTCCTACCAGATTAAACAGCAAACCACGTGGAATATCTCTCAACCTCAACTTTTTTTCATTTCTCTTACCTTTTTACTATAATGAGGATGAGAGCCGATGTGAATTGGTTGTCTAAATCCCTTTTAAAATGGTACCTGGGGACACAGGTTGTGCATGTGCACTATTCACTGTCCTGTCACTGTTTATACAAGCTGCTTATGAATAATTTTTTGCATATGCAGGATAAGTGTTGAACTGCTGACTTGCACTGGTATCTAGAGCTCTTGTATATATGTATATGTAAAGTAGTTAATAAAAATGCCATTATGCTTTATTTACATATTTTTTTCTGTGTAATTTAAGATTACAATAATAAAAGGCTTTAATTGATTCTGAAGAGGGATCATTCTGTGTAATTATTCTCAGTGTACCTAGTGAGTTTGTTGCTGGCTACCAGGCAAGCCAGTAAAAAAGAGGCCTTCAGGTGGTAGTAGGCATTTTATTTATAACACATTGTCACAGTACAACTTTGTAATACTGTCCCCTGCATTGTTTGCAAATACTGGAGTAGACCCTGAATGCAGTAGTATTTGAGAATGCTTTGAGCTTGTTTGGTTCAGGGTGTTGGGTTTCTCTCACTTCTGTTACCAGAACCATTTGCAACGAAAACAAAAAAACCTCAGCCTCCTTCAGCAAGAGTAATAATGTTGTAGCTAATGATTCATAATGTATGTCTTAAGGACAAGACTTTTCATCTTCAGTGTCAGTGTTTGAGTGACAGGCCCATGCTTGAAGGAAGAGTATGATTTCAGCATTGAGATATGTCATGGGGATTAGGACGTTGATCAGAGAAAAGAAACTTGCTAGAAAATGGCTAGGTTAACTCATGCTGTATGTATGCAAGTGCTCTTAAGTGTTTTCTTTTGGATCTATCTGCCTGCTAACTACCTAACAATATTTACAGAATGACTGATTAAAGAGATATCGGGACAAAATATTTTCTTATGCACATAGCTGAAGTTTTGGATTAAGGCAGTGGGAACTGCCTCGTCCTTTGGACAAAGCTAACTGAACGCATGAATGCCACTGAACGTAGCTGACAAAGGCAGAGCATCTTTGTGAAAAGACTCTCTAAATTCTTTCCCACAGAAGTCAACGAAAGGGTCTGTTGTCCTGGGCTACGTATTTCGTCACTTAAACTTAGTGGAGATAGATTACTTTGGACTACGCTACTGTGACCGAAGTCATCAAACGGTGAGTAAGAGACACACTAGATTGGCTTTTCCATCTGCAAAATTTACCCTGTTTCGACCTTTGCCTATATAGCATTAATTTGTTATACTTTCACTAACTATTCCCTGAAACAGTTTTCCAGTAAAAATTTGCTTGTGCTTACTTGCTTTAAAATCTTGGAATGGTCATCAGTGTTTTAGGCAGGAGAAGAATCAAATCCCAAATTCAGCATAGCTGTTGAAAATAATATGTTATAAATATAGCAAGTAAAAAAATGTCAAAGCAGAGTTAAATTTTTTTCAATTTAATGTTTTGTCTTGAACTTGGTGCTTAGCACGCGATGCTTTCCTGACCATGAATTCTCTTTGAATGAAACCATTGTAACTTAGTCCTGTTTTGGCTGGGCCCAGAATATCATAAAAGCAGTGTTCCCAAATGTGTCAAAAGCCAATTTACTTGGACCACTTGCTGATCTGTTGTATGAGAGTGTAGCTGCTGCTTTGAAGGAAGCCTGTGGCTGTCAGGATGCGTTGTGTTGTAGGGTGTGATGTGGTGACTTCTCGTTTACTCCGAATCCCAGAAGTCAGGATATTGATGATGACCTTTGGCTCTGCTTGAAGTGGTATTGTGTCCTTAAGCTGATACCATGAAAAATCAACAGGGCCTCTCTGCCTGTGGAGGCCTTTTCCACCAGGAGATTACAGTCTTAACTGGGCAAGACATTGAAATTAGTTTGAGTCATTTTAGGGCCCAAAAAGATTGGGCAGCTGTAGGCAAAAACCTTCTCAAAACGGCTCATGACGCATCACTGCAGGTAGAGAGAAGGAGCTGGGAGTGCTCAGTAAGGGGACCAGTGCTGTGAAGGTATCACATTATAAGGTGATCTTCGTATTACCTTCCTTTTATGAAAGGAATATTGTCCAGCCTCTGAGTAAATTATGTCAAACTGCTTTTAAAGTCAAATATATTTCGGTAATAGGCACAACACCCTAACCTTAAGAGATGTCACATTTTATCTGTGAATGATAATGAGTATTTGTTTCTGTGCTGTAGTCTCAACATTTATAAATTCAGTTCATTGATAAAGCTTCAGGCTTTTTGAGTTTCATGATATGAAAGATGAAAGTCAGATTCAGCTATGAACTGTAAACTAGGCTACTGAAAACAGCATTTTTTATTTCTCAAGGAAATGGTGAATGAAAAACAGGTAGCTATTTTTGGCTCTCAAAATTGTTTCCTTTTCTTTCTGTAAAGATAAATTCTAGAGGTGTACACAATACGTAGCAAAGGGTTTAATCAGCATGATGAAAGCAAGAGAAAATGACATTGAAAGATTTGACATGTAAAGGGACATTTTAGGATGTATGCTGCTAATAGACCAGCAGATTTGGCTTACATGATATTATTGACAAAATAGGACTGACAGGATACTCACATCTCTGAGATTTGGATTGGGTGTATTTTGAATTGGCTGGAACAAATTTCCAAAGGGAAGGAAAAAAAGGTTACCTGGCTAATTAGTTTTAAAACTCTTCACCTGATTCAGTATCAAAGAGAAAAATGTGTCTGGAGAATTGGTGACCTATTAATGTTTTACTATTTAATTCGTCAGGTTATTTTTGCTGTTATGTATTTAACTGAATGATGAATAAACAGATTGGACAAAACTGTGTATTTTAAAGAGGACAACACAGACACAAAAGGATTTTTTTAATTAAAGGTTTGAAAGCACTTCTTCCCATTACTTTTACATGTTTCTGCACTTGTGCTAGTGAACTTTAATGTGTGCTACTTTTTATGCAGGTGATATCGTAATTGTTCTAGTACTTCGGGTCTAATCAGGGAACAGAGTTACACTTAGCTATGTCATATATGAATATGTAACAGTAAAGTGCTCTCTTCATGAAAAGTTAACAAACTATCAAATGTGAGAGAACTTGTAGATGAAGCGAAGAGACAAACAGAGCAAGAAAAATGAGGTGACCATGGACGGGAGGATAAAGCATAAACTGGAGGATTCTGTGTAGTAGGGTAGTAATTTGATCACGCTACATGAATTCCTTGACAACAACCCAAACTTTTCATGATACTTATTTTGCAAAATCCAGTACTTGAAATCCATTACTGAAAGTAATGAATTGCTAAATTGACCCTTTCAAATGAAGTGCTTAAGCTGTTGTCTCTCTTGTGCTCTGAGACAGAAATCCTAAGGAAAAACAAAAATATTTGGATCTTATGCTTTGAAACTATATGAATATCAATAGGCAGGTTGAGCTAAAGTTATTAAGGTAGCAGTAGTGTTTCCTACCCTTTGAGTGCTTTGTTTAACAAACTACGCAGTGCTCTCTTGACACAGCATAGTACTTTTTTGGGGTAAAGTTAGTTTAAACGAAAAACAGTGTTACCTGGAACTGTACCATGCTGTGCCTTGCCATCAGCCCTTCCTTAAGCCCTCTGCACAGCTGCACAGACTGCTGGCACTTCCATCCCACGAAGCCCAGAGCAGATGCTGTTCTTCCAATGTGGACGGTCAGCTGGGTCCTGACTGACCAGGGCTTTTTGTCTTCTGCCTCACCTGTCAGCAAAGTGGTACACAGTGCTCAGTACAGTGCTTCCAGGCAAGACCTAGTTGCCTGAATTTGTTCTGCAGAAGCTGAAAACAGCTTAGGAAAGTCCCTCCTGCCTTTTTCTTTGTCACTGCTTTAGTGATGGGGAGGGCAGAGCCTCCCTCAGCTTCAGTGGAGGAGGGACCAAATGCAAGGTAAGTCAGTGTCAGGAGGTTCACACAGTCCCCTGCTGATCTCGCTTCTGGTTCCTACCTTCCTACCGCTCCACTAACTGCTGCTACTGCTCCTGTGTTGCCAGTGGGCCTCAGGAGAGCTGTGCAAATTATTATTTTGGCAGGATGCCACTGTCTTCTTGTGGCATACAAAAGAGAGAGTAGAAACGGGAATTATAACAGACTGTATCTCCTGAAAAGCTGAGCAGAATTTGATGAGACAAGGGGCACTTTTATACCCTAGAGGCATTGCTTTGCTTAAATCACAAAAGCGTGCTGGAAAAATCATGCTTTTAGAGCTTCTCTTAAATAAAAGACTTTGGGATTATTGCGGAAAGCCAGATCAGCAAAAGCATTTTGAAGATACTTTGATAGTAATTGGTTTTTCACTTGTAGAAATCTGGCTCTGTTTTACAGTCTTAGGCATTTCTGTATTGTGCTGCAGGTTGTGATGCATACATCCACCTTTACTGCTCCGCTATAATGCTAGCCTGAGATGTTGAATTCACAGTGGACAGCATAGTGATAAGAGCTCAGGAGCGCGAACGCAGCAGATAGCAGTATCACCTTGTAAATTCAGCAGTTTGTCTAAGCCGGTTTTCCTTGCCTCAGTTAGTCCAGGTGCGGTGCCGTGCTGACATGTCCGTGCTGCTCCAAGATGGGGAGCTAACGTGAGCTTGTTCCTGTGTGCAGATTGGTTTGCAATGGTTCTTGATTTGGGTGTTTCCCTCTCTGTTGTGTGGAACTTCTGTTCTGAGCATATGGGTGTGATAGAACAGCGTGTTCAAGGTAGCCCTTGGCACTGCGTTTTACAGCGGCATAGCCCAGGGAAAGTGAGGAGGGAAGAGGAGAGGGGCAGGTATTGGCTTCTTGTGAAGGGAGCTGTCTGCTGTGAGGTGCCCTGCTGCAATCAGGTCAGTGCTGGCAAAGGGAAGCGTGGGCTCCTGTACATAAAGTGTGTTTCTTGATGCACCCTACATTGTTAATAAACATATTGCAGCATGTTCAGTTTGACAGGTTATTACACCAAATCGGTAGATGACAGAAAAGGAGACGATCGAATGAATGGCATACAACTTAACTGAAGAAAAAAAAAGGGCATTTTTTAAAAGGTATTTTTGCAGCAGCAACTTTCAGAGTTATCAACAAAGTTACCTGGGTCTTCAGCTTAGAAGATTTAGAGAGTTTGCATTTAACATTTGTAAAAAAGCAGAAGTAATAATTTTTATAGCTACTGTTAGCTGAAATTATGGAAAACTCTTAATAATTTCAGATTATATTTGAATAATTCTCGATAATATCTCAAGTGTTATGATTTCTGTTGGAAAAATGAACAAAAATTGGCATGTGTGAGGTGACAGGTACAACTTTGTAAGAATCTGATTGAGATACCCTGGCTTTTAGTTCAAAATTGATAGGTTTACCTCCACCAGACACTTCATGACTGATACCATAGCAAACATTTCAACCTAGTTAATATTTTGTTTCAATTAGGTTCATGGAATTTGACCTAGATTTGACCCTATACAGATTCAAAGAATGAAGTTGATAGACAGTATCTGCCCTCATTTAAAGGGCTGATTATAAAATAATGCATAGCCCTTTCACAGCTTTGTCTGTTTAGTATCTTCGTACTGGAGGCACATTTGTAAAAGCAAGACATTAGGTATGACAGTAGAGCCCGCCTATTCTTAAAATGCAATACATTAGCACCTGCATTTGGCAGGGTAGATGCTTTGCAGTGGCAGTGCATTGCTTGTTAGTCAACTTGCTATCTGCACAGGAGAGATGTAGGTGGGAAATCACTGATGAGTGGCAAGTTGATTGTCAAATAGCTTAAAAATAAGAATGAAACCACATGTCTCATCCTTTGGCACCCGTAAATGCTTAGTTTGTTGTCATCCTACTGTGCAAGTGTATTGGATTAGTTGGAGAGACTGTTTTTGTGTTTTCTTCCTCTTCATTGATTTAACAGGCGAGTTAACTGTGAGTTTATCCAACGTTATTTACATGCATACGCAGACATTTGATATGTATACCATCCTCGTGCATAGGTATGCCTGTGTGGCCGAACTGCAGGGGCTCATGGCATTGCATAAGTTCTCATAGGCATTGTGCAGCACAGGCTTGAGGAATGCCTTTCCCTGCTCTGTGAAACGCCACCTATCCTTGACTTACAAATAATGTGTTAGGAAACACCTTTTCCTCCCCTCACCCCCTGCATTCTTCAGGAGAATTTTGGCAGCCTTTGCAATAATAAATTGCTGCACGGTGATTTTAAGCGTGGGTTTGTGGCACTGCCGCAGCACTAAGTTCTTAACCAGGGAGGTGACAGAACAGTCTGGATACCTGCACCCTCCCCCTTTTTCAATATCCCAGCTGCAAACCAGTCTGAGCTGAACTGTTTACCTTCACCTACACAGCACATGAATTTAGAGGGCCGTGGTACCCTCACAGGAGCGTTTTCCTACTGCCAGCTGACACTGGATTTTTCCTGTACAAGTAGAAACAATCTGTTTTACGGTGGTGAGAGGTTAGAATTCCTCAAGTCTAGGGGAAGGAAAAGAAATGCTTAGCAATAGGAATAACTAGATGTGTTCCCTTTCTTCTTTTCAAATTCTCTCTGGATCTGAATTTTGAATTTTCCTTCTGCGTTTTGTCCTTCCTCTGCCTTGGAAGTTGCACTACAAAGACTGTACAAGGAATATATTTTACGTTGTAAAGTCAAGTACTGCTTAACTAGGAAATAGGAAAATTATGACTTTTAACTTGAATGTGTTTGCATTGTTTATGTATGTGATGATACGGCATTTACTTACATGGCTGCAATCTGTTTTATCCCATCAAGGCCAATGCATTGCAGGGATGCAAAAGGCAACACAATTCAGGTTACAGAGATGACCGAAAATCTCCATTGCTTGGCTTGGCAATTCGAATGACGATACTCCAGCATCAGTTTTTGAGATATAATTAATTTGTTTCTACATCAAAAAGTAAAAAAACAAAGAGGACTATAAACACTAAGCAGTGCACATCCACTTTTGAAGCCTATTTCAGTTCAGTTACTGAAAATCATATTTGCTTTAAAGACTGATTCATTTTCTTTTACCAATTTTGTTCTGATCTTGAAAAAGCGTAGTTTTGATTTCTTGCAATATAACCCAAAGCTGTTGATAAAAGAAAACTAGCTTAGCAGGGTATTTTTCACACTGTGATGCCAGTTTTCGAAAGAGTTCTGAGATTAGAACTTGCATTTTAGTGTAAGTTTTGCCCTTTTCTTAACTGTTGACTTTGAAATTATTTTATTGACTTACTGTGCTAGCTTAGATTATTGCTGATAAGGAGTTCTAAGAGGTTGTTTGAACAAGTGTGACAAGTTTTTCTTCCCACTCTGTGTTGGGGTTCAAATGTATTCAAAACAAATACAGATGGAATATCTTTTTTCTTTAGCGAATTTGACATCTTACAATCATTCTGTATCCTTGTGAAACTGTCATATTTGACTCATGAGAACGTGAAGAGGCAAGTATAAAGTTTTCCTCATGTATGAGGTGCCATCTTAATTATTTTTTGTTTTAAAATGCAGTTCACTGAATTGACGGATGATAATTCTGGTAATCTTAGTTTATGTCAGTGCTCAACGAATATTCCTGGGTGTGAAATGCCAATGCCACTTAGCTAGACCAGAGCAAGGCATATAGCTGGTTATAGTGCACGTGGAGCTGCAGCTTATAGGAAATGGTTTTGATGTTTTGTCAGAATCGTGGGAGTTGTTAACACCCAGTTCTTCACTAAATTGTGTGATTTTTTCCTTTGAGTGTTTTCTAGACTCTATTCTCTGTGTTACTCATTAGTAGTGAAATTCTTTGCTCTGGAGATGTTCTCTGCCTAGAAGTGGAAGGTTGTTGACTGATCAGTCTAGTCTTGTTCCTTTTGGGGTTAGCTTAGAAGGCACTACGGAGCTTCTTCATTTGTTGATCTGCATAGTTCCTTGGTTAAAGTGGGGGACAATATGGGGAGTAAATTCAGGCTTCCTCAAGAATCACTTTCCAGAATCAGTGTTGTGCAGCCTTTTTCCTTCCTGTGTTTTAGGAATGCATGCCATTCTTCACTGGTCTGAAAAAAACTGCATATGACTTTTGCATGACATGCAAACTTATGCATGCAGAGGACAGAATAAAGACAAGAATGGCTTTGGCAGCAGCCCCACACTTTTTTTTTTCTGATGATGGTAGACAAGGTGACAAAAATAATCTAATGTGGTGGTTGTGAGAACAGGTTCTGCATCATGTTGGTGTTCAGTGTAGCCATTGTGAGAAGTATCCAGTATCCTGCTAATCTGGATGCAGCAGAACTGTGCTTAGTAGTAACATTCAAAATGGCTTTTATTACAAGCTTGATAGTGAAGGATCAGAGTAATATGAAAATATACAGTGGATTTTCTCTGCTCTGTTGATCAAACGAGGCAGGAGCCCTCATGGCAGCTCATGCCATGGCAGCACACCAAGTACCTCGCTCAGCTCTGGCACGTTTTCCAGCCAGCTCTTCAAGCCTGTCAGGGAAGGAGACCCTTTCTCACTGGATGCTATTTGCCCATGCGTCCTTCCTCTGTTGTTAGAAAACTTGGCTAAAACTAAAAACAGTTTTTTCTTTGCTTCTGGTTAGGCCAGTTTCTTCCTACTCAGGAGTTCAATTTCTTGTACTCAGCAGAAACAAAAGATGATCATTTTCTTACATGAGTTGTTGCTTTTGTTTTTTTGCTATGGGGCAACGGAGTCTCTTCATTCTTTTCTTATGGGTCTTGTACTGCATGCTTTATTGCTAATTCAGAGATAGCCTGCTTAAGGTAATCTCTCAGAAATAAAATAGCAAGGTTGTATAGCAGTGTACTATATAAATCCTGTATTGGGTCAACTCGTCACAAGACTAATATGTGGTATCTTCTACCAAGTGTATTTGCTTTTAGAAAGACCTGTTCCCTCAGAGAACTCAGGAGACATTACACTTATACAGACAATGTTTCTCTGATCAGAAAGGTCTCTGCTGGTGCGCGTCTATCATTAGCAGACAGAAGTGTCTCATGCAGATAGACTGTCAACCTATGTGTTAATGTAATCCTGGCAAAGACACTGTATTCTGCTGAGAAAATAAATCATCTCGCTTGTTTTATGTTTGTGAGAGAAAAAAAATATATGAATGAATACATCATTGAAATTACTCTGTGCTGATTTTCAACGTTAAGTGACTGATTTCCATAATTCTCTCTTGCAGTACTGGCTGGATCCTGCAAAGACCCTGGCTGAACATAAGGATTTGATAAACAGTATGTAACTAATTCAGACTTTGAAAGAAGCATGGGAAGATGAAGCAATTGACAAATTAATGTGTGTGTTTCTATGTATATGTATATACATACATATATATATTATATATATATTGGCTATGTAAGGCATTTGAATTCCTTTTGCAAAAGAATAACAACTCTTCAACTTACTGATTGCTACAGTTCAGAGCCAGGTCAAAATTTCATGCACACATTAAATGTACCATTATTTTCTAGGGGCATTTGTGAGATTAGTGTCCAGGGATTTCTTTGCCATTGCATTTTTAATTTAGAATAGCAAATTGTACTCTTAGCTTGTATAATTAATTTTGTGGTAGCTCTGATACCTCTACCATGCTAATCACATTTTTTTTCTGAAAGTAAGAAAATGGACTCGTATTGATAATGTATTTTCTAATATTTTTGCTGATTACTGCTAGTCTTCTGACAAGAAGACTGTTACTTGCATTGCAGTAAAGGGATTTTAATAAGATTTCTTAGCCAATAAATTGTAGACTTTAAAGGATGCAAAAGTGGAAAAGTGAATGAAATAAATACAGTTGTAAGAGTCTCGGGACTGAAACCGTGTATGTATATGTTTAAAAGATGAATTAGGAAAGCTTTTCTAAATATTTATTAAATAAACTACAGTTAACATTTCTTCATAAAATATTTGAAAATGTGGATCAGATTAATATTAAAGTGTAATTTATCATAGGAAAACACTTTTCATACAGTAGAGCATTTTTCAAAAGTTTCAGTCAAAAAAGGTATCTAAAAGTCAAAACCAGGCATTAGAAGAAATCTTGGAAAAATATCACTGTCATCTAAAGTTAAAATCTTCAAGATAAGAACTCAAATTAGAATATGGGATATGAATAAAATATCCCATAGGGATAGGAAAAAAAATGAGCAGTTAACTTCATGTTCATTATTATTATTATACTATTAGTGCTTTTTATTATCATGATCTATTTTTATGTTGCTAAGGATTTTTATGGGGCCGCGTTAGGATTTATTGGTGACTTCACATTTTATAAAGTTCATGGTAGGTGTTTTATAATCAAGAAGTATTGATAGTTATTATCTTTTGCTGTGATACCCTTTCTTTTCTCCTCAGCTGGACCGCCATACACTCTTTACTTTGGCATTAAATTCTATGCAGAAGATCCATGTAAACTTAAAGAAGAAATAACCAGGTGCAGTATTTTGATATAAGTACAGCTTGTTGGTTTTAAGGCATTAAGGTCAGGTGCATACCGCTGTGATACGACTGGATTCCTTCTGCTGGAGCATCTGTGTGCAGGAAGAGAATTGTAGATATTTCAGAGATTGATATAATCCCTGCTTGGGAAAATGAGGTTGAAAAAGTACTTTCTAGTGAATAATAATAAAAAAAAGTATGCAATTCGATCTAGTTCTCTCTCTGCCATCTCTCACTCTGTGCTCTCTTGTTCTCACTCTGTCAGTGCTCCCCTGCTCTCTCTCCCCTCGCTCTCTCCCCCACCTTCTCTCTCACCGCACTCTCTCCCCCTGCTCTCTTTCTCTGTCCTCTCCCTACTCTCTCTCTCTCCCCCCTGCTCTCTCACTCTCCTCCCTCGTTCTCTCTCCCTCTCTCTCTCCCTCTTGTTCTCTCTCTCCTGTCACTCTCTCTCTCTCTCTCTCTCTCCCCCCGCTCTCTCTCTTCCGCTGCTCGCTCTCTCCCTCCTCTCCCCCCTCATTCTCTCTCTCCTGCTGCTCTCTCTCCCTCTCTTCCGTCTCTCTGTCCCCCACTCTTTCTCTCTGCCGCCCTGCTCTCTCTCCCTGCTCTCTCCCCCCACTCTCTCCCTGTTCTCAAGCTCTTGCTCTCTCTGCACGTGCTCTCTCTCTCCCCACACTCTCTCCCTCTTGTTCTCCAGCTCTGTCCCTCTCTCACTCTCTCCCATCTCTCAGCTCTCTCCCTCCCTCTCTCCCCTCTCTCCTTCACTTGATCTCTCCCTTTTCTCGCTCTGTTACTCTCTCCCTCCTCCCATGCTCTCTCCACGCACGCTCTCTCCACACGTGCTCTCTCCATCCACTCTCATTTTTCCCCACCTGTCTTTATGCATATGCTGCAGTAACAGAGTTATAAATACAAGGGATTTTTTTTCTTTATTGGTCATACCTTAAATTCCAAGACTGTCTTTCAAGAGGACTTTTTTTTTGTACTTGTAAAAATATGTGAAGGAAATTGAGTAGTTATGTACTGTGGATTCTTTTAAATAAGTTTGGCCTCTCAAAAAAAAAGGATACATGCATGTGTGCATACTCACATACAGACACTTGAATGAATTCTCACACAAGTTTCTCTGATTGCTTTATTTATCAAAGATCTTAGACAATTTTATAGTCAAAGGGAACTTTGAAAAATGTGATATGTAGATGAATAAAATTTGCACAGACTTGCATTAATAAATGCTAAAATATATCTTTTGATGTCCAAGTTTGTGCTCAAGAGGACTATGACACATGAGAATTCATTTGAATGCATGCACGGATTTTAATTTTCCTTAATGAAAGGTGACAGTTATTACAGGGTAAGCAGAATGTTTTTCATGTAGCACAATGAGAATTTTTTTCCCATAAGTGCACTGTGGTAAGAAAAGTCTCAGTATAACAAGATTGGTGTTGACCTGGTAAAAACAAATAAAATTAAAACCCTGCAATTAAAAAGCATAAGCTGGATGCAATACGTTTCTGCCCAGAAAGTAGGATATATTTCTGCTGTACTTTTTCAAAATTACTTTCATCCCTGCTCATGGGGTGAAAAAGCTGGCCCAGGGAAGAGAACTTGAGCAAAATAACTTGTTGTAATTACTGCTTGGGAGGCAGGTTGGATTTATGTCTGTGGAATGACCAGGATGAATTTTCAAAAACTGAATTTTGTTTCCTTGTAATAAAGTTAGTCTGTTATTTGCACTGCTAATTGGGTATGTAAATCTGGCTGAGAAGCTTTTTTTGCATAAATAGTAAGCCTCTGTTTTTGTATGCACACACTATTTCCTTATCCAGAAGTCGCACCCTAAAAGGTACAGAGGCACATACGAAACAAATAACTACACTCTTCAAAAACACATTGAAGAAAAGCCAAAAGCCATCAAACCTTATAGGTATTTATTCCTGCAAGCTCTTTAACCTTGGAAGGAAGAAATATATTTTCAGGAAAAAAATAAAATAATAAAACCACAATAATTAGACCTAGGAGGGATGACAGTTACTCTTTTTCTTTATGATAATTTTCATCAGGAAGTATGTGATTCCAGTGGTGTGCTAACTGTGTTTATTTGCAGCATATGTTATTTTAATGTGTATGTGAGTGCAGTCTGTAGGTATTAAATGTTAATGATCTGTGGCATTATATGATTACTATTTGCAAATAATGAAAACCAGTCAAATTTGTTAATGCTTCATACCAAAATTAAATTCCGTTTTTCTAGACAAAAGCTAACACTGAGGTGCTTTGTATTAACATTTACTGGAAGTGTTTGCTAAAACTGCACTATTGTGTATGCATGACAAACCTGACAGTGAGCAAGGGGAGAATACTTTAGCTGCAAGTTTGAACAAAAGAGCCCGCACTGCAAGGAGCTTCGTGGCTTCCGTGGGAATTGAGAATGTTCATCGCTTTGTAGAAGTCGCCCAAGTACTTAACAGCTATTGCTTCCCACTGCTTTTTGCAAGGAGTTGAATCTTTTTTGCAAAATTGATCAGTTTTATTCTGGGGATGGATACTGAAAATATACAGATGTGGATACCTGCTCCATGGAAAGGACATTGATAACGATAACGCTTTTCCTAAAGCTTTGGACTGTAGAGCTGCAAAAGTGCTTTAAGAAACCACAAATGTGTATCAACCACATATTTCACGTTTTTCATCTGCTACATTTCATCTGTTGTAGGAGAAAAAAGCAATGAGAATAAATAGGGAGAGGTGAAAAATTAAACTATTCTTCTGTCTGATGACTTATTTTCCTGCCTCTGTTTTTCCATTTATTTTATGCATATTGTTTCATTTTAAGTTCAGCATTGCAGAGATAGAGGGAGATGTGGCAAATGCAGATGCTTGCGCTCCGCAGGCATCTGATGTGTGAGCAGTCGTCTGATATGTATTGCATATGTACATGGGATGTTGAAGAAACTGTATATAAGGAAATTTGGTTTGTACTTGTTGTAATGCTGGAAGCTGAGAGATCCTCATCAGTAAAAAATATGCTTAAAAACTTCGAATTTGCATTGAATTCTCAGTCCTGCTGCTGGTTTTTAAAAAAATGGGGCTTTACTTTGAGGCAAAAATATGTAGTTCATAAAGTGGATGTTGGAGCAGGTGACAAGTCAAAAATTGCATTTTATCTCTGTTATCTCTGTTCCAAGAGTGCAGGTGCTCTGGAGGAAGACAGATAGAGTTAGTTGCTGGTAATATACCTGCCCCTTCCTTCTTGGGAGGATGGGCTCAGTGAAATCTGCTTCCTGCTCTTGACCATTGATTCAAGGGACTAATCAAGTTAAGCCTTGGTTTTTTGATAATTTTTTTTTTTTTTTTTAAAAGCTCTCTTCACTGTTTCTTCACTGGTCTGTGAAAGTCTTTTGACTTCAGGCTGAAATTAATTAATTTTGTTTGCTCTGTGTTAGCAGATAGGAAAACTGCAAAGTTCTTCCCTATCCATTTTATGCCACTAACTTTATCTCAGTTTTTACTTGAAGCTTAGGAGGGAAAAAGTAATTCCGAAGGGAATACAGTTTTTCATTGTTACTTAATTATGTTTCATGGTATGTTTTTAGTTAAGTGAGAGATGATGAAAGGTTGCTTGGTGCATCAGACTCAATGCTAAAGCTTTGTTTCCTCTGTGTTTTAGGTATCAGTTTTTCTTGCAAGTCAAGCAAGATGTTTTACAAGGCCGCTTGCCTTGTACAATCAACACAGCAGCACAGCTGGGAGCATATGTGATTCAGTGTAAGTTCATCAGCAGACAACTTCTTTTAATCTTGTATTATGTTTTTTTTTAAGTGTTGACTGAACACTTAATTAACACTTAATTTCAGAATTAATTGTCTGTTTTATTTCAGTGTTTGTTTCAGAATAGAACAAAACAGATCAGATTGATTAGAACCAGGAAGCTGTAAATAACTACCCATTCAGAAGAGAGGATGTAGAAGTAATAAATATAATAATGTAGAAATACTACAGAAATGAGAAAAAAAAAATAGCAAAACTTCTGATGAGTCTGATGAACACAGTTTTCCTTGCCAGGAATACCTTATTTTGTACTTGCATGTAAAATATGTCAGCAACCTTTTCTATAGTTTCCCTGTGGTGTATTTTTTCCTTATAAGGCAATTTACAGAGTTGATTAGTCATTGGCAGCCTCTAGCCAGCATGTTCTGTCAGATAAAAGAATCGTTCAAAATTTACATTATGTCAATATGAATGTGTCTCTGCTTGAAGAGATGTTTTGACCTGAAGAATTTTAATTCTTCCTGTCATTTATCTGCATGCATTTATCAGTAGTTAGCTTTTCAGAAGCTGAAGTTATATCCTAAATATATAGCTGAAGCTGTAGCTGAAGTTATATCCTAAAGTTAGTGATGAAAGTCAAGGTGAATTAGAAAGGAGCTGCCTGTCTACCAGTTACTCCTTTTAAACTGCACTTCAAACTCTGCATTCAAACACAATAGGTAACCTCGGTATTAGGTAATAGTTAATTGCTACTAGTAGTTAATTACATAATAATAAAATTGTGTGACAAATCATGGTGAGAACTGATGGACAAAATTAGATCCAGTGCTGTAAAAGCAAGACCTTGGTCAAAATTTCTAGCTATTTAAGAGCTCTGGCTTTTAAATTTCTCTTTAAACATTTTTAAAGACTTTTGTGGAAGGCAGTGTATGGTCAGCTTTCTGTATTAACAGTATCCTGTTTATTTCCTTTTCAACAGAAGAGTAGGTTTGTTTTTTTCTTGTGTGACTGACTGCATGGTGAAATAAAAGTCATTTGGATAAAGACCAATTGACACAAATAGATGGATTAAATAATATATATACTTTATGATTAAAATAAGGCACTGAAAACTGTGAACTTTTTTTTTCTCTTCTTCTCTGTGTAGCTGAGCTGGGAGACTATGACCCATATAAGCATACTGCAGGTTATGTGTCGGAGTACCGTTTTGTTCCAGACCAGAAGGAAGAATTGGAAGATGCCATAGAACGGATACACAAAACTCTGATGTAAGAATTAAGTAATATTGGGAACTTTTCATTTAAAATCAGATTCAGAAATGTTTGACAAGTGCAAACAGTCTTTACTGTGTTGCCAGCTGAAGGCTTGCAGACTTGAGGAGGTGCAGAGCATGCAATGATGTTCCTCAACACAGTACAACAGAAAAAAATAGTGTATTTGAAGGTGTTCTTTTCAGAACTGAATAGCAAAATAAAAGAAAATACAATGCCTGTCAGATCCAGGTAGCAATTTTTTGAACTAGCAGTTTTATTAGTGGTTCTACCTTTCCTTATTTTGTTGTAGTGAAAAGAAGGAAATCTAAATCTTCTGAATTGTTTGAGTTCAGTTCATTGTTGCAACACAGATCTCCTCTGTAATTTTAGACAAATTGCTTATTGTGACAATGCCTCTGTCTGTTCTCTGTAAAATGGAGATAATATTTCTTTTGCTTATCCTGTTCTGTGTATTGTGATATTTGTTACTGTAAAATCACTTCCAATATAGTAATGTAAATAACTATACCACTAAGTAAATAGCACTTAGTACAATGAAGTGTCTCTTTCTTGCCAAACCTTTAGTTGGAGTAAGGAAGGGATGCTTGTAGCAACCTGTAAAAGTCTTTGTGAGAGCAACTCACATTGCAGGAGATATCAAGAAATCAGTTTGTATGACCATAGTTTAGGCGATAGCCTCAGTTGCAACACCTTTATGAGTTAAAGACACAGTTTGGTTGTACAAACATAAAGTCTTTTCACAGTATTAACTTAAATGTTTTACATAAAACATTAGCAGCAAGCACTTTTAGTGTATGCTGCAATAGGAAGGAACATACGATTTAAAAGTAAAAAAGTACCTAGAAATAAAGTCAGGCAGCATTGAAGAAGTCAGGGTATTTAGAAGTGCTGGCTTTGAACAAAAATTCTAAAACTTTGCATGAACATAAAAGCAGTGGGAGAACTAAATAATTGGTGGCATCAGAAGAGTTTTGATTTAAACTGAACCAGGAAATACAGAAGCTTGCTGGCTTCGAAAATATACCCGAAGACATTTCTCTAGCATGAGAAGAAGCTGAGTAGGCATAAAAATAACACAGGCCTGAAGTGATTCTAGGAGTAGACTATGAACCTTACTGCAGACAGCACAAAAGGGGTCTGAAGAGATCAGAAACATGTATGTCAGCAGACTTCAGAGGTTCATGCAGCCTCAACGTGGTCTTGAAGAAGCTGGAAAAGACAGATTCATTTTGATAATAGGGACTTGCAGAGCTTTGGTTCTCCATCTTCCAGGCATTGGAATGATAATCACCGTGAATACAAAAGAGCTGCATCTTTGTATAGTGACGAGGTACCATCTTGGTCATGATGGACCATCTCCGCTTGATGATGGACCCGGTGTTACCGCTTTGGGATTCTGTGTCACATTGCAATTTGTGCACGTGACATCTTGGCTTGATTACCGGTCAAAGCACTGGGATGCAAAACTACGGTAAGAATGGACAGGACTGGGGACCATCGACTGGGGACGTAAGTGGCTGAGCAAAGAAAAGTAGGACTTGTAGTCTGTGGCCCCGTTTTTCTCAGTGCTTGAATAAGAAACAACAGGAGCAGCAAAGAGGAAAATAATCAACAACCTTGCATGGAATTTGGAGCAAAGAGCATAATGGAGTTTTGAGGAGGTGGCATCAGAAAGGGGGAGAGCACCTCTTTCTGTCCCATTTATTCTTCTTTTTTGTATATGAAGTCTCAGTAGTTTCAAAGAACTCTGTTTTAGAATGAAGCTCACTTGCTACGTGAGTTGCAGAGGCAGATTGAGCACTCACAGTGAAGGTCCGAAAAGAAAGATCTGTCTTCCCTGCTTGCAGTTACGAGTCTTAGGCTGCAGTGCCTTCAAAACTGCTACCGTAAATTTGGTATTAAAAGTAAAATGTATGAAAGACATGCATACTAGATAGATAAAGCCAAAATAAACATTTACTTTCTTACTTCCAGCTTCATAAGCTGAAGTAAGTGTAAAAGAAGCATGTTCTAACAAATCCAAGTTAGGTGCAATTGTGATATAACCATTATGTTATTAAGATCAGAGCATGTTCTTCATATCTTTTGTCAAAGTCATGTAGAGATAATCAGAACTAACCGTCTTGTATTTAGATCTAGGTTTCTTCTTTCTCCAGCTGTAATAAAGCCACAATCTGGATAAAGGCTAAGTAGTTTCTTGCCTGTAGTTCTCTATGTTCATGTCGCATGTATCTTGTTTAATGAGAGTAGGTATTAACTCAAAGCTGTTAACTTGGAACCAAGTTCTGTTTTGATTGGAATGCCTGCCAGTTGCCGCTTTGCTTTGAGCTTTCTCTTTTAGGGAAGAGAATCTGTTGTTAAATAATTATTTCTGTATGGTTACTTGGCTCCTCTGTTGTAACTGATGCACTACAGAGAATATTGCTGCAAATCTTTTAGGGTTTTTTTTTGTTGTTGTTCTTGTTCTAGATATAGAAAACTGTGGCACGGGGAGTTTGAGTCAACATCACAGAGACTGGGTTTAAGAAATGAAACTTGGGATTTATTCCAGATCAGCAATACTAAACAACCTTCACTCCTTTCCCTTTGGTTTCTTTAGTCTTTTGTGTAATAAGTCAGACTGTGATTCATTTAGCTTAAAGCGTTTGTAAACTTAAAAATGAAATTCAGAGGCAGTGGGAGCAGCAATTGTGAAGGGAGTTGATAGCAGTCTTAACCATAGTGGTTTTAGATGCTTACTGAGCCAGACCTCTGATGCTGTGCTCCTCCTTTCCTTGCAATTAGATGACAGAGACTTAAGAGGCAGTGGAAAACCGAGTGATACCAACGTGCACACTCAGTGCTAGTTCAGCCTGTCTGTCAGCATCAACACTGCCTGCATACGTTCTGTACACATGTGAGACCTCTCTCGGGATAGGATTTTTCAACCTGGCGTGATTAAAGATACATCCCCATTTTTTCTCACCAACTTGCAGAAATTTTGTGAATAGGTGTGTGGAGCTCAGCAATCAGATTTTACACAGCACGGTGTATATTCCTGGATTTGTTTGGGATAAAGTTCTGAAGCAAGTTTCAGATTTGTGTGAAAGTGGGTTTCTCCAGCCTGGTACAGTTGGTCAAATGTAAACCAGCATGGCAGTGCTGAGGTCGAATAACAATGTATGTGATTATGTTGCCATACACATCTTCAGCAACCATCAGTAGCTTCAGTTCTTGCATTTTAAGACGCAGAAACTCGGCGTGGCTGCAGGAGGGTTATGATCCTTCAGTGCAAGTGGCAGAGCGAATATTGCCCTCTTCTGTTGTTGCCCCAGTTGGCAGCAGATTGGGAGTAACTGGTACATAGCAAGTCCCCTGTTGGATGTTTTAAATCAAAATTGCATGTTATCAGTGGGACATAGGGAAGCTAAAATACCCATAATGGCTTTAACAGTAGCTCTCAGATGCTCTTACTTTGTCCAGCTAAAGCAGAGGTGCATATTTATTGCCAACAGATTTGGGGTGTATTGGCAATATGCACAATGCTGAGGGGAGTTTGTTTTTGTGTATATGGGAAAAAACCAACCAAACAAAAAGAACTTCTTATCCTTTGATGTTAGAAGCAGTTCTTGGCCTTGCGTACTCTACTCCTTTGCGTATTGTCTTCATCGTCTATATTTGGGGCAACATTACTCTTTCCTTACATCCTTACACGCAGACTAATTATTCACTATTTTTGCAAATATCTTTTATGTATTAGGTATAATTTAAAAAGTATTAAGATACATACTCAGTTCACATCTGGATCTTTTAGTACTTTCAGAAATTAATGGGACTGGTGGAGTAAGTACACACTTTTTTTATGTTATCAGAAAGGAAATAGTAGCCGTGATATTTAAATTGCTGTTGGACTCCACTGATAATTCATTGGTGAGATAATTCGTGTTGCTCAGTACTGATTTTTCAGCCTGCTGTGAACTCAGAGACAGTGCTGTTTACTGTTGAACATTTTACTGTTATCTGTGAGAGCTACAAATATGATTTAAAAAAACAAGCTGTGGAGTGAATTTTTATAGCAGCAGTGGAGGAAAGTACTGATGTACAAGAAAGTACAGATTTGATGACCATGACATCGTCAATACCCAGCATTATGCATAATGTGAATCAGAAATAAACTGATCTCCTGGGAGCTCTAGGTCTTGAGGAAAGGACTTCAGATCTTCTGCTTCTCCCAAGTGCCTCAGAAATAATGGGAAACACCTGAAACTGTGTCAGCATCATTCTGTGGATAAGCCAGGGTGAAGCAGCTGGTATCTCAAAAATAGTGAAGCTATTTAAAATACTTACATTACTGCATTCAGGATAGCACTTTTTTCTTTCTTTTTTTTTTTTTTCTTTTTTTTTCTTTCTTAACTTTCTTTCTTTTTTTCTTTAAATAGGAAGATACCTGCTAGGCTAAAGAAAATAGAGAGTCTTGAGAAAATGTATGTATTGCAGGATTTTTCAGATTGTGGATCAAGATCTTCAGCTCTACCTCACGCTTTGAATGTGAATGGTAGCAGATGCATTGAAATGTTTTCCCATGGTAATAATTACAGAGTGAAGAAGGGGATGCATTTCTTAGAGTTGGTGGCTTATGTCATCACGAATGGTGCTGGGCTTTCTCTACATACTAGCAGCATTCATAGCAACTTTCAAAATGCGTGAGGTTCAGTTATTTGCAGTGGATGGTCTTGCTGTTCTATCAGTGACAATAATGAAGAGAAGAACAAATGAAATTCTGAGAAATTGTTGAACACCATGAATCTATTTAGTTTTTGAAAATATTTCCTTCTTCAGTGATGTCACATATGTTCCTAAAAGCTCCTTTTTTCTCCTTTTCTTTTCCCCTATTATTTCTTCCCACCATGAAGCTCATAGTAGTTATTAACTGATGCATTGGTATTTGCAGACAGAAAGGCAAGTTGGGTGTGTGAAACTGCTAATCTCTAGCAATGGACTCTAGACTTTGTTTTTACAGTAGCAGGCTTGGGTATAACCAGCTGGTCTGACTTCCTGTAGGTAAGATTTTATGAAGAAGAGAATATTTCATCTAAAGTCATGAACCTTGACTACAGAAATTCATACTAGCCTCAGTACTTCCATGGAAAAACATTCCCCCAATCACTCACTCATTAATAATACTGTAGTTGCTTGAGGGGAGGAAAAAAAAAAAAGATTAGTATGTATATGCAAGCCTAAAAGTGAAATATCTGAAGCATGTTTGAGGAAGCAAGGCATCAGTGTGGTAACCACACTAGTTAATATACGTTTTATGTATGATAGAATCTTGCAGCAAAGGATTTTATAGTAAAAGCTTGTGCCCTCTGTAAATTCATACTCAAAGCCAGAAGACATACAGTGCTCGAAAGATAATGACACTCTACAAAAATGGTAGGAAGGGTTGCATATTTGTCTAGCAAATACTTTTTTAATGAAAAAAGGAGTATTTTAATGTTAACTGTAAATATCAAGTCCTTACTTAGCATGTTGTTTACAGGGGTCAAGTTCCTGCTGAGGCTGAATCAAATTACTTGGGGGTGGCCAAATCCCTGGAAATGTATGGAGTGGATCTCCATCCTGTTTATGTAAGTATTGTATATAATTACATATTTTAAATTTGAAAGCAATTCAGAAAATCTCCTGGAGGGAGGTGTATTTATACTGTCTAGTCTTCAGGTAGTAGCTGAAAAGAAAAAAAAAATGTACTCAAAAAGTCTTAAGAAACACATATTTACAGAGTGAATGGATTATGTCATTCACACATAAAGAAGCCGGATGGTTTGCAGATTGTGATTGCATTACGCCTGTGAAAGATAATCAATTGTATTGAAAAAAAAAAGCAATGCTGATAAAGTGGTAGGCATTAGTGTGTCAGAAAATACAAAAAGAAGTGATTGTTCTTGTGTTTGTCAAAAGAATTTGTACATCGTTTGTTTTGCAAAGAACACAGTGAATGAAAGATGAAAAAAATTGCAGAATTATTGCAGAAGGCGACCAAAACCAAAGGAGAATGCCTGCTGTGTTTTGATATTCGTGAAGGGTTTGCTAAAGAGCCAGAGCATGTTTACAGATTTTTCCTCTGATTTTATATATATATACACGTATATATATAATGTAAGTTTTCTATATTGCCTCAACAGATCCCCTTACCTGTTTTGTAAAACAACATGTATGTTGGGATTGGATCGAAGCCATCACCTGAAGGCTTTGTGCTTCTCGTAGAAACATCGTTCTATCTTGTTTAAATAATCCTGCTCATGACATTTTTTTTCCTTGAATAAAAGAAAATGAAAAGTTCAAATGAGAAGTTGTTGTGTAAATAGTTCACTGAGTTGGATGTCAGTACTTTGTGAAATGACTTAAAGGAAAGTAATGAAGTCAAGATGCAATCAAAAGATTAAGTATGTATTTACACCTGACAATTATGTACTTCACGCTATGAAGTATTTCTTAATAAACGTTGTGGTGTAATGATTTTTATATCCACTGCTCTATGCCACTCCACCTGTAGGAAGTGGAGGAGTTACTTGAACAAATTTCAACATGATCCAACAAAAATCATATTAAATTTGCAGAATCTAGAAAGTTTGGTTTTTATGTCCTGCAGGGACATAGCAGCTGAGTTATGAGGGATTCATTATAATATGCTTGGGTCAAATCCGTTTATTGTTGTATTTATGTTGAAGTTCAAGATTACTTCTTGATCTTTATTCAAGATTGAAAATAGAGATATAAAGAGATGCATTCTTTTTTTCATTATCTGGTCATATTGAAAATAAACTTGCCTCTAGCAGTTAGTTCATTTTGGAGCACAGGCATTGCTCAGGGAGAGGAGCTTAAGCTATATCACTTCATAACCACACAGATATTTTTTGTCGTTCATGAACTTCTGTTAAAGAACTAGTTGGGCTCCTCCACGCTGTTCTGCCAAGCAGCAGATGAGCTAACTTTTGCAGCTGATCCCCCCCCCTTTTTTTTTAAACTTCATGGCAGTGGCTCTGTAACCTTATATGCAAAGATCTGTAGTCTTCCAAGCACTTTAAGTATCATAAGGTAATACAGCATAAGATTTAGTAATAATTTATGTGCACAAAAGTATAAGGGAAAGCAAAAATCAGACCCAAAATACTGAAACTCTTTAAAAGGTTGAAAAGAGCCATTCTGAAAACATCTGTTTTGGTGGTCCCTTCTTCATGGAAGATTGAAGTCAGCACTTTGCTCTGAAGTGGGAGAACAGTTAACTGACTACTGCCAGTTACAGCTGAAAAAAAAAAAAATGATGAATTGCTTCCAGAAATTGTGTAAACTGTTCTCAGATTAAGTCAGAATGAACTCAAGGAAATGGTTCTGTGTTCACTGTCTAAGCAGTAATCCAAAAAGGGCTGATAGAAAACTTCAGAAGACTCAAATTTTCTAGAGCTTGTGACTTTCTCAAATTTGAAACTTTAGGAATCTAGGTTGGCGCAGGATGTAATTCTAATTATTGACTGCAAATGAGGAAGCTGGAGGGGTTCTGCCTTCATGAAGAGAATGTTCATTGTATTGTGTACACGTATGATTTACAGTTGAGGCATTGATCTCAGGAGCAGTTTTCCTTGGAGAAGATGGTGTGACCCCTCCTTGTTCCTCTTGGATATTGGTACCATTCTGAAAAATTCTGAATCTCAAAGCTGTAGTGCGTTTAGGACTTCTGTAGCAGCACACAGATGGTGTTATTTTAGAAAGGCAATTAAACTATAGTGAAGTAGTTTAAGAAATCACTGTGTACCTTTAGCTAAGGTTTAGGTGTCTGTTGCTATCATGTCTTATCATGTCTTAATAAAGAATTTATTCTCCAAACTGTGGTCATTTTCTTAAAAGATGAACATAATTCCTTTTTTTTTTTTTTTTTTTTTTTTTTAATGTGGAGTGTGGAAACCTCCATTCTTAACTACTATTTTGCATCTTTGCGTGGAAGTTTTATTTTAGGAGTTTTCATTAGATAAAGTATTGTTTTCCCCATTGCAAGATGGACAAAACAAATATCAGCAATATCAGACTTTTCCTCTCTAAGCCTTACTGCTACTGTAATACAAATTGCTGATGTAAATAATTGAATGATATATGTTTTATTTTCTAGGGTGAAAACAAATCTGAATATTTTTTAGGATTAACACCTGTAGGAGTTGTTGTCTACAAGAATAAAAAACAAGTTGGGAAATATTTCTGGTATGTATAATTTAAGAATGCACTCTGTGTTTAACAATGTTGTTGTACAGAAATGTATGATATGTTCAAAAGTTGGTTTTATTTTAAAAAAAAAGCATTTCACAGTTGGAATTCCTTATCTGAATTATTCCAAAATTTTAAATACTTGACAATCCAATTTCCATATAAATATATAAATTTCAATATAAAAACTATTTTATCTTTACTGGACTCATGCTGAAAAGTTTAAGTATTGCTAATTTCTTTTGAAATCTGTGTGAGGTGTAGATGTCGAGAAAAACATTACCAATAGATCCTTTTTTATGTTTGTATGTAAATATATGCGGTTTTATGTTTTACTTTTTATGAGGTCGGAGTTCCATGAATTCTTTCTGTCTTTTTATTCTGTATTACAGGCCTAGAATTACAAAAGTTCACTTCAAGGAAACACAGTTTGAACTCAGAGTCGTGGGGAAAGATGTAAGTTTTTATTCAAGCCTCAAAGAACAAAACAAAAATAATCTCACCAATCTTAATATATGGGGAAATCGGGACTTCATCCCAATTCCCGTGGGGAATTCATCTATCTAAGTGAAATTTTATTGATAGTTACTGCAAAAAGAGATCTTATGCTCAAGTGTCAGTTGTTCTTGATAGTGCATGCAGTTTTAAGAAAGAAAAAAGAGGAAGATTTTTCCTCCCATGTTTTGCAGATGTGGGGAAAGAATGTCAGTAGCGCAGACGTAGGGATTTTGTACGTTTTCATACTATGCCTTGTGAATTAGAACAAGACAAAATATTCATGGAAAGCCAATACCTACCTATACTGAAGCAAGTATAGCAGATTTCCAGGAAGAGAAGAAATTTTAAGGTATGGTAAGTGGAACCAAAAGAAATATATTTATTATCTGTGGAGCACAGAGATCTTGAGGGGTGGTGTTGGGGGAGAAGATTGAGGATGTAGGGAGAAGTGTGAAGTATAATAAAACAATGTTTAAGAAGTGCTAAGAAATAAAACCCAGTCCTCAAAATCAGTCTGTGACTTTTGGTTTCTTTTTGAGTTACGAGTGTAGTTTGCTGAGTTAAATTTTTTGAAAGTTTTTTTTAGGTCTTTTTGGAGTCTCAAGGGTAAAAGTTTAGAGACAGAACAGTTGTTTTATGATAAATATTTCCTTGCTGGAACTTGAATATTTTTTGCCTTCCTGGTCATCTTTGTAAGTTTATTCATCTGTGTAGTTTTTTTTTTTCCAAGAGATCATTTTGTGCTTTCAGTACATTCTTGGAAATGTATGTGTAGCACTGATGGATTTTGTTGGTTCGGGGATAGTATTTCTTGCTTGTGGAGATGTGTTGGCAAGTTTTGCTTTCATTACTCAGAAGTGCTTTGTTTCTCTTCAGTGTGTTTGTCTATGGAACGTTTATTTCTGGTGATGTGTTTGTTGAAATCTGAGAGTTGTTTGAAAGCTGGAGGAGGGTTGGGAAAACTTGTCAATGCTTCATTTCAAGGATAAATGCCTGTTCGTGTACAAACAAGTCCTAGTTTGACTTAAAAGTGGATTGCATTGAAATGATGCTGTAATTTCTGTTTGATGTCACATGCATATAGTTTTTGTTTGAACCATCTGGAATTGCAAATGTTAACATGCCGAAAATGAAACCTGGAAGCTTTGGAAAATATACACAAGTTTAGATTGTGAATGTCGATGACTTATAAAGCCCATGAACAATTAATATTATGATTGTAAGACAAGCACTTTGACAGCAGTTGACAGTTTCGAGTCCCAACAGGTATTTTGAGGAAATTGTTTAACAGAACAGTAAGTACAAGGGTGTGTACCATCCCTGTAATCTGCATTGCAGCTAATACTTATTTGAAGTGCTTCTGCAGTATTCATATCCTAACAACTTAAAGAAATGCTAAAATGGCCCTGAATATTGTTTTCTGCTTTCTGGTAAACATTCTTACTACCACAAAAGCATTTTTGGAATAAACTAACAGTAGTTTTAGTTTGTGGATTAAAATCATTGTAATAACTCTTCAGTATATTTATAGACCATGTGTTTTAGTACTGAAAAAAAACCTTCATTCACAAATTTCTTTCATTCCTCCATGTTTTCACATACCTGCTGTTGCTTTGTCCTTTCACTGAGAAATGGATTTGCAGTGTGTGTGTGAGGAGAGAAAATACACCACTTTTGCTTCATGCTGCATCCTTGAATATCACCTTCCAGCAGAAGGAATCTGGAATGTGTAACTCATTTCCAGACAACTCCGTTTACTAGGTAGATGTTCACAGGTTCTGAAGTCTGAAAGACACCAGAAGTGGTCACATGGAAGAGCTGAACTACTGCCTTTTGTCTCGTTATCTTCCAAAGTTGTCTTTTCTCCTTTAATAATATTTGATAAAATTAATGTAGTGAACTAAGAAAGATGTACTTTGAAAGGAAAGTGAATCCAAGAGTCTAGAAAAGGTTTGAAGAGAGCAGTGCTGTGAAAGGAGGAGTCAAGATTGAACAGGGAGCGCAATTGCCAAACGCCAGGCAGACAGTGCACAGGCAGTATGGTTTACTAGGCTGATGACTACTCTTTGTAGGGAATTGAAGGAAGAAGGGGACTATTAAAATTAGTTGGGGAGAATACAAGATTGAGAAAGAGGTGGGATGATGGAGTTTTTTTTGTCTCTTAGTTTTAGCTTAATGGCATGGATTAACACCATGTAAAGCCAAGAGCTGGATGCATTGAGTGCATTGTATGAATCACAGTTTCTCTATTGTAATGAAAACTCTACAGGCTGAATTCTAGTTCGTGTCCACATACCAGTTACTTCTATTGACACTGATGAACACTTTCCACAGATATACCTCAGGAGGATGTTTTTGATTCTTTTAAGTGCTCTGTGAAATGTTGTTTTTTTGCTGCATGCAATTGCTTATGGTAACTTCCCAGTTCTTCAGATAAACTTGTCTGAGACTTTTCTAAACCTACCAAATTACTTGGAATGTGCAGTTGCATTGATGAGTTTAAAAATCTTGGTCTAAATGTACAGCTTCATGTCCTTAGGTTACCTAGAGAATAGACTGTGTAATATTTGTAATATTTGGTCATCTCTAGCTTGTCCTTACTCTAAGACTAGTGACTTGGGATTTTCTTGAGAAAATGAGAGCTATCTGATAATACCTGTGCACAGTTCATACTAGTGTAGGTACCTGCTGAAAAAACATAATGGATATCATCCAACAGTCTGGTGGCTGCCGCAGGCCCTCGGTTCAACAAAATTGAGTCAAATCACAAAGGATATGAGGTGTGAACATGAGTAATTGAGAGGGTATGCTAACTACCTCTGAGCCATCTTTGTGTAAGGAGTTCCTTTTACTTCAGTTGCAGTGTGTCTAAACATGTAAGTTTTCACTGGTTCGTAGCATTTATACAAAGTTTCTGTGCTTGGTACTTTTCATACACTCTTTTATCAGGGAATTTGAGTTAGTTCAATCTGCATAAAGCTTGCTTTCATTATTTCTCATTTTAACAGACAAGTCTTTTGGAAGTCTGATTTTTTTCTTTTGTGATGGATTTTGAAATTTGGTTTGTTTCAAGTTAGAACAGACTCCTAAAGCAATGCAATTAAAAATGATTTATACAATTGCAACACGAGCCTTTCTCTGCAATCTTCCTTAGTCAGGTGAAGAGGCCTAGCTCAGCTGAATTTATAAGGTAAAGTACATAACGACAATTTCCAGGACCTTTATCAGCAACTGATGCATGTAGGTAAGAGGAACTTCAGGGCAATTCCAGAGCACATACTGGTTCCTATCTGCTTCTGCAAGCTTGTCCAAAAACAAGATCTTTATTCTTTCATACTGGGAGACCCTGGACTTCTGCTCTTAATTAGTGGACTTCTATATTTTAATTGCTTTTTATAGGTTTTAGAAGTCTGATAGATGATTAATAAGGTAGTCTTACACATCTTTGTATACATACCATATATGTGCATACATACCTCATGTACATACCCCTTTTGCACATACCATAACTTGAAATGGAAGAAAGTATGGTATATGTCTTATATGGTATGTAATTTATAAGAGCAGGACCTCTTCATTTGATCCTCTTGAACAGTTTCTTCAGAAGATGAACAGAGAATGAAGAGATAGTCTTCCTGTTGTTAGACCTAATTTAATTTGTATTTACATTGAAAAAGTAGCATTTCAGTTTTTATGATGGCTTAAATATTGATGGCTTAAAAATTATTAATAATAATTAAATATTATTGATGGCTTAAATAGTAGAAATAACTTTTACATCATTTGTATTTTTGTCACTTAAATCAGAGTGGTGGTGGAGGTGAGCTAGTACAGTGATCATAGAATCATGGAGGTTGGAAGGGACCTCTAGAGATCATCTAGTCTAGCCCCCTCTGCACAAGATGTTAATACATCTGTATAACTTTTTTAACCATCTTGTGAGTCACCACATACTTGTATGAATGGCTTAAGGCTTGATAGCTAAGTCTTTGGTAATCAACATTTTTGAAGGAGAACTGGGATTAAAATTCCTGGCTAAACTTAAATGCTTGTCATTGAAGTGTTCATGTCAGGGTTTTTTTAAGTTATTGTTTAGTAATTTTTTGTAATTGTTGATAATATGTGCCTGAGATGCTTTAATACTTGACATGCTTTATGTGTAGTAGCACAGCATTATTAGTTCTAATTCTGGATTTGTATAATATGCCTAGGGATAATTATCTAACTGGAGATTTCAGGTGACCATATGTAACCAGTAATATATTCTCCATTACATAAGCTATGATGGGTATGTGTTGTGTAAATATATGAAGACAGAATATTTCCTGTTGAAGGAAATAATTGATACTATCTAGGTGTGTGCCTGACCTGACAAAGAAAGCTTTTTGGATGCAGTAGCTTCAGAAGTAGTATTAACACTTCTTTTACCTGTGCATGCACATGCAGTGTGCTTATAATGGGACAAGGTTCTTATACTAAATATTCAGTGCAATTGAAGAGAGCATCTGTGTTGGCAGAGTTTTTGTTGAATATTATTTTCATTTCCCAAACCTGGACTGGTCGGGGCTTATTTATGTCCGGTCGTAAATTAGAGCAGCTATGGCCTGTCTGAGGCATTGGTTCTCACACATTTTTCATCTGTGGAGTCCAAAAAAAATAAGGAAGTCCCAATGGAAGTGCAGTACCCCATGGAGCTAATGCAAGTCTGCTGACAGTAAGCCTGCTTTTACATGTTATCTCTGAAGTAATCCATAAACTTCACAACCAAGGGATCTTCTGGTACCCGGAGGGAAAAACCTGTCATTACTATGTCTTCCCTTGCAGGCAGACTCAAACTTGCTCTGCCTGGGCACTGAGCTAACTGGATATGAACCAACCCTGTACTCGAAGGTCTGTAATCACATTAGTGTGACCAAGCCAGCAAGGAAGTATTTGGAAAAGGGAATATAGGCAACTCTTAAGTAACACATCAGCTGTAGCAGTCCCAGCGGCATTTTGGGGCTACCTAGCAATGACCAGGTGGAGCAATGTACCCTCTGGCTGGTCTCTTTTGAGGGTGTTGCTAACATGCTTTCGGTAAGACAGGAGCTAATGGTATCGTGCTATACCAATTACCAACCCTGCAGTACAGGAGATCTCAAATACCCTGACAGTTCACTTTTCTGGGTGATTTCACACAGATAAAACACTCGGAGGCCGTGGTTACATGTTTAATTGATGGAGTATTATAAGCTAGTGGTGTAGTCAAACTCTGGGCATCCTGTGTGCTGGCCTGTCCCTCCCGGGGGCTGTGACAGTGTGAGCTTTAGCATGAGCTCAGGTCAGAGGGACCAGCTTGTCACAGAATCACAGAATCACAGAATATTTAAGGTTGGAAGGGACCTCTACAGATCATCTAGGCCAACCTTCCTGCTCAAGCAGGCACACCTACAGCATGTGGCACAGGGTGGCATCCAGGTGGGTTTGGAAGACCTCCAGAGTAGGAGACTCCACAACCTCCCTGGGCAGCCTGTTCCACTGCTCTGTCACCCTAACAGTGAAGAAGTTCCTCCTCACCTGGAGACGGAACTTCCTGTGCTTCAGCTTGTGGCCATTACCCCTCGTCCTGTCGCTGGCCACCAGTGAAAACAGCTTGTCCCCTTCCTCCCTGCATTCTCCCTTCCTGAACTTATACATATTAATCATATCCCCTCTGAGCCGTCCTCACTCAGCCTCTCTTCATACGAGAGATGTTCCATTCCCTTAATCATCCTGGTTGCCCTTCTCTGGACCCTCTCGAGAAGCTCCACATCCCTCCTATACTGGGGTGCCCAGAACTGCACACAGTACTCCAGGTGCGGCCTCACCAGAGCTGAGTAGAGGGGCAGAATCACCTCCCTTGACCTGCTGGCAACACTCCTCCTGATGCAGGCCAGGATCCCTCTGGCCTTCTTGGCCACGAGGGCACACTGCTCACTCATGGTTAACTTGGTGTCAACCAGGACTCTCAGGTCCCTCTCCGTGGAGGTGCTTTCCAGCAGGTCGACCCCTAATCTGTACTGATGCCTGGGATTATTCCTCCCCAGGTGCAGAACCCTGCACTTGTCCTTATTGAACCTCATGAGGTTCCTCTCTGCCCAACTCTCCAGCCTGTCCAGGTCCCTCTGGATGGCAGCGCAGCCCTCTGGAGTGTCGGCCACTCCACCCAGCTTGGTGTCATCTGCAAACTTGCTCAGCTTGTCCCGGTTGTGTGGTTTCTTGGCCCTCTCAAGATGAGAAGGTTGGCACTGCAGCAACTGCATGGTGACGGAACAGATGAAACAGGACTATTCTGAAGAAGGTGCTGTTGAGTTTTGTACCACTGAGTTTCAGTACGCTTGGGCGCTCTGAAAGCAACAGGATAAATAACATGGAGTAGTTTGTGAGGCAGCGTACAATACTGAGCTTCCTTTTAACCGTTAGTAGAAATAGAGTATCTCTTTCTTTTGGTTTTCAGATATATTAGTTAGGGGGAAAAAATAATTCTCACTACATTATAAAAATGATAATCGTTCAAGATAGTAGAGATGTTGCCTCTTAATGGGCACAAAAGATGCATAATGTTAAAGGGTAAGATCATCCTTGTTTTACCTATATTTAAATGTATTTATTTAGCAGAGATTAATTCAACCTAGATGTTACTACCTTTAGGAATTCTTTATTTTTAAATATGTACTTACAAATTGTGAGAATAATCACAGTTCTGCTACAATATATCAAACCAGCTTAAAAGTAAGTGGAAGAAAACCTAGACCCAAGTATGCTGTGTGCAGAGTCATTTTGGAATTAGCCTGGTAAATTGCTGAATCCCTCTACAAATAACTGAAAAAATGATACGTGCATTATAAATTCTCCTTGTGTTAGTGGAAGATCATAGGGATGAATTTCTTAGGCTTCATATCTTCATACGGTTATATTGTATCTACCACCATGAAATAATACTTAGTTTTTAGATGTGTGCTGTTCCTTTGAATCCAGCTAAGTAATGGGTGCCGACAGAAAGCTTCTTGTCCTCATTTCTGGCAATGTTTGTTTGTTTGTTTTTCCAAATCTGAATTCTGTACATATGATCTGCAGGGCTTCCCTGTTTCTTCCTTAAAGCCTTTAATTGCTAAGTAAATACTAGTAAGGGTAAGTAAGTGTATTCTGACCAGTGGTTTATCATCAACATTTTTAATTAACCAGTTGAGATGAACTGTCTTCATCTTGGAAAGTGATTTCTTCGAAGAATGGCATCAGAAGTACTTGTTGAAATCTTCTAATCATGAGAAACTGTAGCTATACTTTCTCTTTTTCAGGTGCCTGATAGATTTTCAGGTGTTATGTAGCATACATACGAAAAAAAAATAAAAAACTTTAAGAAGAAGAAAAAAAAAGATTAAGCAGATATTTTTTCCCCTAATGGGAATCTTTTCCTTAATTTCAGTGGCATTTGAACTGGGCTAATAATAAGAAATCATAGAAATACCTTATTTTGTTAAAAAACAAAACAAGAAAAACTCTGGCTTCTTCCCCTACTGCTCTCAGACTTTCTACTAATACATTATATAGTTAAATAAATGAAAGTGTAGCAGAGGGTTCTTTGCCTAAATGTAAAATGTAGGAGTGAAGGAAGAAGGAGCATTGCATATTAAGGGTGAGTTATGTGTTCTTTCGTAATAGAAGTTGAAATGAATTGTCACATTGCAGAAAGTCTGTAATATCAGAGATATGATTTGAGATTACTGTTTATATTTTCATAGGTGACTATAGCTATGTGAATTTATATGAAATCATGCCAGGCCTGGATCATCTGGTCTAGAAATTTTAGAGTAAATTAAACCATAAAATCTGAAACTATTTCTTTTATGTGTAAAATAGCAGAGGAAGAGTATTGCTTGATTTCTATACTGGAAGTCCTAGTTCCAGTTCAGTGGGTAGAGTGATTGCCAGAGGGGCATGAGCAGTATGATTGCTCTTGAAGGCTCAATGTACATAGATTTTTTTTTTTTATCCTTGGCAATTTCTGAGTTTCCCCATGGGGCTTTCAGGTGCTTGGATTTCATTTAAAAAAGTTTTGAAGTTTTTAGTTTTACCTTTCTTTTTGCAAGTTAAGCCTATTGACTGTCCTGTACCGAGATTAAGATCCCTATGAAGCCTCAGATTGGCTTTTTAATAACTGTAGAAGTGTATTTGTGGGACAGATCTAACTGGTCTCTCATGACTTTGTGACCTTCTAGAAAATTAAAACAATACAAAGCATAAGAACAAACCCACATGAAGTTTCAGGTCAGATTCTTGTCATATGCGTCACCAAAAGGATGTTTCAGTAAGCAAAGGACACTGCTCTTGTCTACTGCATTTTTTTCACCATCTGTAGATGTCTGACTTCTCTTTCATGTTTCCCTGTCATTCATGGTTTCTTCGTATACACAATATGGACCGCCAGTTTCCTTGAATGCTTTTGAATGTTATTTTTCTTCCTCTGACTGTTCCCTCTGCAAGTGGATTTTAAGTCTTCTAAAGTTGGCACTTTTTTTTCCCCAGATATTTTGAATCATACTGAAGTTAGTGTTATTCATCTTTCCTTTCCATGCACTTTTTTGATTTCCAGATTTACTTCCTTTCTTCTTTAGGTACATGTCTTGTGCATTTTCTCTTTGCATTGCTGCTGCATAGTAGTTTATGACACATCTTCTATTTTTCCTGCTCCTTTTATGCTTTCCCAGGATAATACTGCTAAACAGAGTCATGGGAAGATTTTTTTGCTTGCTTGCTTCAAGTTCAATTTCAGAAAATATCAGAAACCAACTATATGAAAAACCTTTTTTGCTTGTTAGTTAAGATAAAGCTAATGTAAATCAGAATCAGGAAACAGACCCATTTCAGTAATCTTACAGAATCCCAGAATGATGGAGGTTGGAAGGGACCTCTAGAGATCATTTAGTCCAAACCCCCTGCTCTAGCAGGGACACCCAGAGCACGGGGCACAGGGCGGCATCCAGGCGGGTTTGGAAGAGCTCCAGAGAAGGAGACTCCACAGCCTCCCTGGGCAACTTGTGCCAGGGCTCTGTCACCCTCACAGGAAGGAAGTTCTTCCTCATATGGAGATGGAACTGGCTGTTTTTCAACTTGTAACCATTGCCCCTTGTCCTATCGCTGGCCACCACTGAAAAGAGCTTGGCCCCTTCCTCCCTGCATTCTCCCTTCATGAACTTATACATGTTAATAAGATCCCCTCTCAACGTTCTCCAGGCTAAACAGGCCCAGCTCACTTAGTATTTCCCCGCTCAGTAGATGCTCCAGTCCCTTAATCATCTTTGTCACTCTCCGCTGGACCCTCTCGAGAAGCTCCCCGTCCCTCTTGTCCTGGGGAGCCCAGAACTGCCCCCAATACTCCAGGTGCAGCCTCCCCAGAGCTGAGCAGAGGGGCAGGATCCCCTCCCTCCACCTGCTGCCAACATCCTCCTGATGCAGCCAGGAGCCCATTGGCCTTCTTGGCCACGAGGGCACTGCTGCCTCTTGGGTAATTTGGTGTCAACCAGGACTGTCCATGGAGAGAGTCTTGTTTTGTCTCACAAATGCCTCTCCATGGAGCTGCTCTCCAGCAGGTCAGCCCCTAATATGTACTGCTGCCTGGGTAATTCCTCCCCTGGTGAGGGGGAGAATCTCTGTTCCCCTCTTTTTTCCCACGTCTAAGGAAGCAGACTTGTAATTATTTTCTTCAGGCAATGAGAAATAAATAAAAACTTCTAATTAAGAATTATAAAAAAATTATATAACCTACATTTCTTCTTATTCATATCTTTTTTATGTACAGTGTTATGAGAAAGATTCCATCTTGTGCTCCGTAGATGAAAGTTGCTGTCAGAATTCTTCCCAGCTACATTAATTTGTTTTGTTTTGCTTTCAGTGCAATGAAACTTCCTTCTTTTTTGAAGCACATAACAAGACTACATGCAAACATCTTTGGAAATGCTGTGTAGAGCATCATACATTTTTCAGGTGAGTCTAATGTGATTTCATTATGATATGAGGGAGACTGCATTAAATTAGGAACCTTGCTGTAACTGCAAGTGATGTAACACAGACTTGCTACCTGACAGCATATTTCTTCCTGATTATAGAATGCCCATAAAAGTTAATGCCTTGCTTTTTATGATAAAACAGTCATTTAAAACTGTTACAGTAGTTTAGTGTCTCATTTTATTCTGGAATTCTTTTTGAAACAGCGTATTTCAAGTTGCATAAAGAATGGAACAAAAGTATCCACATATGTACATGGTGGCATATAAGCTGTAATGATTAAATTCTCCATTGCTGCATTGACTTCAGGCTTTTAGATTTCATGTGTTACTGTTATCTATGTGGGTTCTTTTTTTTTTTTTTTTTTTTTGAATGGCATTGTTTGCAGCATGCATTATTTGCACCATGCAGAATTTTAAATAGAGTGACTCTTCGAAGTTTTGGAATGTCTTACCCTTACGGAAAGGTACAGAATACTTTCATTTTGGGTTACCATTGCAAAGTAGCTACTAAAAGAACACAAGGGTCTTGAGCTGGGAATCAGTTCATGGAATGCTTAATGTTGACAGTATTTTAAATGCTAGTTCATAAAGTTGACAGTATTTTAAATGTTAGTTCAGAAATTCTCCTATTCTCCCATTAGTGTATTATGGTGTTTCTGCATGCCAGTGTGAAATATTGAAAAAAAACCTTTTACTAACATCAGTTTATAGTAGACCTTATAATAGATATATAATCAAAGGATTAGGGTATAAACACATGGCTTTTGGGAATTCTCAACCCGGTAAGAGTTCATCTGTGAGCAAGGGTGAAGAGAAGCTAACAAAATTATCTTTCAGAAATTCAAATTTGCTTACTTATTTTTTCTTCTTTTAGGAATGGGAGTCCAATTGGGACTGATCAATGTGAACTTACTTTGTTGTTGTTTTATTTTTCAAACTATGTAGAATGCCTGAAAATGAGTCAAACTCTCTATCAAGAAAATTCAGCAAGTTTGGATCCGTAGGTTACAAAAATCGATACAGGTGAATTTATTTCTTTATATAAACTTCCACTGAATTCATTCAGTCTTTTTTCCTGTTCTTCTCTTGTTTTCCAATTGAAAAGATGAGATCTGAAGATCTGAAAGGAGGTGGTTGGATATGCTTTCAAGTTTGCAAGCCCTTTTCACATCTGAAAGAAGCAACAAACTTTCAGGATATACAGGGAACAGTTACTCTCAGTTTTAACCATTGTTAACCAGAAAGATAGTGTGACATCAAGGAGAGTTAATACTGTCATGCAGAGGAAAATGTGGGAAGGAGAGAGTTCTTAACTAGCGAGAGAATTTCTAGAATCAAAAAGAAAAGCAGGAGACGAGATATAGGTAAAAACAGAAATATGACAGAAAATCAGAAATATCACAGAAACTCAGTATTTTTATTGAATCTGTCATCCTTCTGTTAAAACAACAGGATCTTTATCTAGCAAGTAGGACACTGGATTTGGCATATGGGGATCCCTGCTTTAAATCCTGTCACATTGACTTAACAATTTTGACGAAAATAATCCATGGTCTGATTTTTAGAATTGGTTTAGAGTTGCATATTTATGCATATTCAGTGAACCTGGAGAGAGTATGGATCAGCAAATTAAAATTGCTAAGCCTCTTTGTTTTTCCATTTTCATTTACCCTACTTATCAAGTTTGCTTAAAAATATTTTTTCATGTTTCGCATTTGCTTTGAAGCTGAAAGAGCTATATATACTGTATTCACAAATTCAGGAGATTTCCTACCTTCCCCCACCTACCCCCATGTATCATATAAATGCACCAGTTTGTGTAGGGCTTAGGTTTATTTTTATCTCATCCATCTGTCTTTTTCCTGTTTGTTTTTCCACAATCACTCAAGAAGTATGTATATAGGTAACACTGATAGTTATTTGTTAGGCAGTTCTTTGTCACTGCCTTCTTGGAATATGTCCTAAAATCAACCATAACTTTCTTATTGTCAAATAACTTTTAGAGTGCAGTTAGTAGCTCTCATAGCTCCTAAAAGTAATATACAGTAGTAGCTCTCTTAGACTTGTTCCTTTGTGATCGGGATTTAAGCCCTATCTTGTAGGGAAATAGATAGAGATGAAGACACATGTCTGTGCTGAGCCTGGACTATGTCCAAGCAGGTCACTGGTGTGTTTCTGTACCATTCTCTCTGCTATATTTGGCTTATCATGTTATCTGATGTGTCCTCACTTTCCCATAATCTAGATGATGGAGTTTTGTGTTTGCTGGAGCCTTCCTACACGTATTACTGTTTTACTGTAGTATTTGTTGTGGGTTTCACCCTTATCTGAGCTGATGTTCTAGCTAACTGGAATGTGACATGTAGTTTGCCATATTGATTACCCAGGATTAATGATACATAACCAGGTGGTGTTTGATACGTTAACTCTTCTTGGAATGTAGAGCAACAACCATGGTTAACAACATTTGCATGTGCCTTGAGTATCTTTTTTTGTTTGTTTATCGGGTTTGATCATCTTCTTTCTTTGCCTTTGTATGTGTTGTAACAGCAAAGGCAGTGATGGTACTGTCTACCCACACACATCAATGGGTCAAAGCAGGAACATAATTTTATTCTTGGACCTTGGATGTACTGTGGTCATAATAACTATTTTGTTTTTGAGATTGTTATTCTTGTGGTTTTTTAAATTTTTCCAAATATTACTTCTTAGGTGGTAGACTTCAAGAAAACAGTATCCCTATCTTAGGTTCAGATATTTTGGTTAAGAGAGTGAAGTGTTTTCACCAATAGCACCACAGGAATAATCAGCACTGCAGAATTTTGATCTTAAGATCTGCCTTATACCTAGGTGTTTTGTTAAAATTGCTTTTGGATTGCAAGGAAGGCATGGTTGTGGAACTTAGAAGTTGAACTTAAAGGTTTTTCTGTCTAACTCGGGAACAAACAAGCATGATAGTGATTAGCAAAAAACAGCAGTACTTTGATGTAATGTTAGAAATGATTTTTGTTCTTTAACACTTCTATGAATTTTAAGATCAAAATTCTGCAGTGTTGATGACTGCTGTGGTGCTGTTGGTGAAAACACAATCATGCTAGTTGAGAGTATTCACATAGCTCAAATTATCTACATCTGTAATGCCTGTTGAAATTGCCAGACATCTGAGTGCTTTTAAAATATGGAACTGCAGATGTTACAGCAATTGAGAATTACTATTAACAATTACTACTTTTGTATAAGTTTTCTGAAACAAAGAGTTTTGGGAGGGGAGTATGGAGCCTGGATCACATTTGGATTATGACCAATTCATTCTGCTTAGTCACATTGAAAGAAGCTTTAAAATGAACATAGAAGAAGTTATTTATGTTTTTAATCACTTTTTCCATTGTATAATGAAAAGAGCCATACTATAAATGAGTTAGGTCTTAATTTACTCGATCAATTACTCAGTTTCTAGCAGTCAGGCCTGTGCTAGTAAAGAATATATTAGTGCCGTTTGCTTTGCACTGGGGTTTTAAGACCCATTAAATTGTCATCCCTAGCTCCCCATAGCAGAGCAAGAAGTAAGTTACATATTGAAACTGAACAATCTTAAATATGTATTTTGGAGAGATAAAAAATTTCAAAAAAAAAGAAAAAATAAATAATCAAATTATTTACTGTAATTTGTACTTATTGTACAAAATTTGTTTATTGTACAAATATTGTATATAATTTGTGCATATTTCTTATATGTAAGAAAATAAGAGTTGGAAAAAATGAGATTACTTTATCCCATTTTCTAGTAAACCACCATTCTGTTTCAGGAAGAGGGAGCAACACAATCTGTTGATGGTTCTGCCTTTGATTCAAAACAAAAGTGAATAAGCAGGAAGCATAGTACTGTACAGCTCATCATTAGAGCAGGAGTGTTGGAATAAGAAAGCATGCTGCCGAAACCATGAGCATTTTCTTGATATAAATGTTTTCTTAGATCCCCCTTTCCATGTGTTTATCTGATTTTTTTTTTTTTTTATGTAATTTTGTTTCATTTTCAAGTGGAAGGACAGCTTTGCAAATGACCAGAGACCTTTCTATTGAGCTTCCTCGGCCTGACCAGCATATCGAAAGAAGCCGCAGTCGGACATACCCAAAAAGAACACAACAGACCGGTGAGTCCTCCTGTGCTGTGCCTATGGAAAGATTTCTTCTTTGGTTATCAGTTACTCTGTTTTCAAGAAGGAGGTTTAAAAGTGTTCTGGTTTCCCCCATGGTCTCTCAAAATGCATTTTCTTTTTGTTTTGTCTGTTTTAGGCCAGAATAGATATAACCTTAAATGGATCTAAAAATTTCATCTATGTGAATGAAAGTGACAAAAAGTGAACCAAACATGGTAAACGTCCAGATTCAGTGCTCTAAGTGTGAAGTATTTTATTGAAGTTTAAATACAGGCAGCACACATTTTTATTTTCTTGAAAACTGTGTATGAAGAATTCTTAGGTGTGTTGCTTAGTTGGGATCCCATAGCCTTAACCAAGGAGTCTCTTTTTTAACATACTTTTCCCAGTCTGGTAAAACTGTTGTAGAATCCTTTTATTTTGACATTAAGTGAGATGGAAGTAAATGCCGTGCCCTCTGGAGTTTAACATGTTTCAGATTTGTGAGCTGGAAAGTTGTAACTGCATTCTGAAAATGTCAGGGGAAACTGAAAGTTTTTGCAGGCATCAGAGGAAACATTTAAGATTAAACACACATCCCAGGAGCTGTACCCAAAACAATTAATGTTTCCTAAAATCTAGTAATAGGGACAATAAAAAATCTCATGTCAAGCTTCAGTTCTCCATGTGATTATGTTCCAGCCTTTCACTCGTGTCAGCAGTTGTTCAAATTTCAGTAGAACTCAGCTACGTACATGTGTGTACATATTAGTGGTTTGAAGAAAACTTGTTTAAGCTTAAAAATGTAAGGAAGCTCTCTCTTTATCGTAGGCTAATATATCATCAGAAAGCTTTGAGAGTCCCTTGTTTTTTCCAAAAAGAAAGCAGGTATATTTATATATGGAAGTCACTGATGTTGATTCTGGATGTCATCTTTGGATTCAGAAGCAAAGTTTTCTGTCCCTTTTCTGCCTGCTAGCCGCAATGTGCATGGAAAGGTAGTGTAATTACAATGCTGAGTCCAGGTTTTTGGACACAATAAATCAGGTTTTGTTTGCTGCTACATTTTACTTGGTGGAAAATACTAACCCACTGTAGATTTTGTTCGTACAGAATAATTTTGACCTTGAGATTGGTGCTGTGAATAGTCTCATGAGTTGCTTGAAACTTTCTGCCACTGAACTGTTTGAGAGAATAATACGACATTGAGTGTTAAAATAGTGGTTGTCATTGATAGCTAGTCTTTTTAGTTTTATTTTCCTTATCTATGAGTAATTGTGCCTTGTTTGGCATTTGTAACAGGCCAAATTTTGTTTGCTTCTATAAATTACAGATTTATTAAGGTATCTTCTGCCAAATGCCACTTTTGTTGGTACCCAGGTGGATATGGCTTTCAGTTTGTCTTGCTGTAAAGAGAAGCAGAGCTCTATTTATTCTGCTCTCTTCCAAACTGATTAGCAGCTTGCAAATAGGTCTTGCACTGTAGTTTCCTTCTTACCTTTCCCGAGTTCAGCATCTTTCCTCACCAACTTCTTTACCTTTTTCCTCTTTTTTTAAGATTGCAAAATTAAATCTGTGAAGAAAATACTTTATTGCTGCAGCCAATTCAGTTAGCTCTTTTCTTTTTGTTACCTGTCAGTGCCAAGAATGGGCCCAGCTTTTGGAGGGCCATGAGATGAATCAGTGGCCCAATGTATGCAAGGCTGCAACACGTGCGTTCTGTATTGCCTCTGTCACGGAGATGTGTATGAAAGGGCTAAACCCTCTGACTTCTCTGGCACCTCCAGTTTAGCTTTGTACTTCTTTTTTGTACTCCTTTTCTGCTGTTGTAAGGTGTTATACAGTACACAGTCTTTTTTCTTTTTTTTTTTTTTTTTTTTTTTTTGCTACTGTCACTTGAATTTAGAGATTATCTATCCTTCAAATGGCTGATTGCCTAAAAATGTTCCTTGTCTTACTGACCATTGGAAAAAACCTTAACCAGTTGGTGAACTCCAGGTTAGGAGCAGGATAGCTGTATTTTTGCTAAAAATGTGTGTATTTAAGAGACAGATTGAAGGAGATGGTAATGTGAATGCAAGAAACTATCTTTCTTAGCTAGTAACCACTGCCACTGACTGACTGTCTTGATAGGACTGACACTTTAGACTTGGCGCAGCAAATTATTTTCCTAGAAATCAGGTGAGAGTTGGATAGCATGCAGTAAACTCCCTTTTCTCCATTTTTATTACTTGCTTAATACATTTAATTTGTCATCTATTTTAAAGTCAGTGGAAAAGTTAGACTAGGAAACTTTTCTGACCGTGTAATTGATGTTTTTATAATACTGTATTGTCTTTCTGCCCTGTGTGCTTAGAATAGTCTGCAATTTTCGGCATGGAAAGGGTAAGAGGGCTTTGGCTTTGGAAACTCAAACTTGAGACATGCATAGCTTGTTGAGCTTGCATGTTCCCTTCATTTCAGTTAAGAAAGAGTTACATTTTTGTTCTGTGTGTAAATCATAAGCCCAAGCAGTGGAGCAGGATCTCTCATTGTTCTGCCCCGCTCAGGTGTGAGGGCGCTGACGTCTCGCTGGGCTTTGGCAGTAGCGCGAACAGGCTGCCCCATGAAAGCCCTTGTCACCCTGGCCACACGTGAACGCTGCGAAACCCTGAGGGACAAAACCTGCTCACGCAGCCCCGAGTTTGTTCAGTGCTGGAGAGTGCGCTGCTTAGCCTGTGCCCTTGCCGAGAACTGAGGCCTGGAGCTGTTGCTGCCTCACACGCTGCGCAGCTGTTGAAGCTAGCGCAGAATAAAAGTTACCATTCTGATTAAAAGCAGGGTGAGAAATCGGAAGTGAGTATTGAAATTGTGGTGCAGTATCTTGTGGGGTCTGGGTCAGGGCTGTGACAGTCAGTTCTGATAGTCCTGAGCACCCGCTGTCACCTTCCTGATCCCGACAGGCCTGTGCAATGTCGTGGGCTCCCAGCATGGTCCTGCTGGAGAACAGCTGGGTCTGAGTGTTCAGAATTAATCTTTTCCCATAAAACTATGAGATTGCATTTAAAAGCTTACATTTTAGAAAATGAATTTTGGAGTGCTGTTACTTACTTATATGTTTACTTGGAGGTTTCAGAGCAGAGCACAATTTATCTGGAGTGAAAATATGAGAAGTAGAAACTTCTTGTGTTTCCTGTGTTTTTAGGAGATGAAGTTTTTTAAGTTTTAAGAAACCCAGGCTTCAGGAAAGGTACGGCTCTAGGGAGAGGATTAGCCACCCTGAGTGTGTATATTCATACATAACACTCATTTTCTTTATCTTGATTCTCTTAACACAGGAGATAGTTCAGAAATGTGTAGGTAAGTATGTTGAAATAAGGGATTTATTTAGGAAATCACAATTGTTGTATTCAGATCCATAAAACAGAAATTTTTAGTTTAGATAAAGATTTGGGTGCTAGAGATCTGACTGTGCATTATTCACAGCTCTGGTTGTCCCTGAGCGTTGAGTTCTATGGGCTCTATGGGACTTGTAAGGGGGCTGCAGAAAACTGCATCAGAGTGTGTATACATATATGTGAAATTTCAGAAGGGATTTGCACTGCAAGAAATTGAATACCACTAATTTGGGATAAAAGAGTTAATTGACCGGTGTTCATGTTTTTGCTGTGTTGTTTTGTCCAGAACAATAAGCAATGTTACAGGGAAAAAGTTTCTTTTTAAAGAAATGTGCTCCTGTTGGATGATGGTTGGTCCTGTTGGTACTAGCAGTACCAGCATTAAGGATTTTTTAATACACATTTCTCTGTGGTCTATGACCCAGTATTGGAGCTGGTTTTGACTTTTTTTTGAGTGGATAACTGTATAACAGGCAAGTCTTTTGCCTGAGGTAAATAAACACTAGAGAAACTGTGAATGATTTACTAACTTTAAAAGATTTTTTTTTTAAACTAGATTTTGTATATGAATGGATTTAGCCACTTTGACATTTCATGTCTGTGGTGTTAGATAAATAAAACCTTTGAGATTACCGATTTGGAAATTAATTTGGTCGGTAAATGTTATCACAGAGTTAGCTGAACTGTATTATCGTCTAGACATACAGAAGTGCATCTGCTTTTATAAGCTCTCAGTAACATGCAGTGCAGAGCGCGAACTGGCTGTTTTCCTTTTGCTCACCCTATCTTCTGCCCTCATTAATAGATTTAAATATAAACAGTACTTCCAGGCAATGTCAATGGAATGAGTTTTATGGATAAGAAGCAGACGTGACGTCATTAGTTTTGCCAGGCTCTTGAAGTGACACAATCCTGAAGTTTTTGAAATCTAACGCTCTGCTTAAATATGAAAGCAAAACCTGGGATTGAGATTGCCGTAAAAGAAAATCAAAGCTTGTGCATTTGTATTACTGGAAAAGATCGATTCAAAGAAAACCGACTGTAATTTTTATTTAACAAAAGGTAAGCAGCCAGGAAAACCTGTTGCAAGTGAGATGTTCAAGATTTCTGCCTATCTAAGCTATTTCTAAGAGGCCTATTACCTTGGCATGTGAGAAACAGTGTTATAGATAAGATGTGGCAGTGGGGTTATTGTTTGTACAATTATTGTGGAGTATGTTAATTAGTGATACTGTATCACACGGGTGGCGTTTAGGTGCACAGTGCTTCAGTGAGTCAGTAAAGTTGATTAACTCTTCCTGTATATAATAACATTCATTCAGAATGCCTAAATAACTCATTTCTGTCCTTGAATTTGTGTGCATTCTACCTTTCTTTACTTAGAACATTTTGTATTCTTGCTAGTTCCTAAACTTGCATAAACATTAAAAAGCACAGAGTCACAGTCTTCGCTTCACTGGTTGTACAAGGACTTCATAGGAACAAAGGCGCACAGGACGGGACCCTGGCAGCTTCCCTGCTGGGCACTGGTCCAAAAACTAAGCAGGGAAAGTAGTAAACTCTGTTACACCCACCCAAAAAAGGAGAGAGAGGAAGGAGGAACAATAATGGTAAAGTTAAAGACAGAAAGGCCTAGAC